TGCAGATCCCACCCGGTCGGTTTGACTCCCCTACACATGGGCATTGGGGGATCGAAATATCAGATACAGCCGATTCCCCGAACCCCTTGCCAAGAGCAGCCCAACACCGCTCAGTTGAAGCTGCTGTCCTACATGCGCCCGTGAGCAAATGAATCAAGTTTGAGCCGCTGGCCCTGCGCTGACGTGAGATCGCGCCCTATAACCCCCAAGCGCGCGCCAAGGCCAGTCTGCCTCCCTCGTTTGATCCCAATCTCAACTGCCGTTTTCAAGATGCTGTTGACGCCAGGGCCAGGTTGAAGCCAGGGAGGATTTGTAATCTTTGGCAGTCTAACTGACCACGTTCTCTGCTATTTCGAGGAGCCACTTTGCTATTTTAATTTTCGATAACATGCCTCCTTTTATTACCATCGTTGCATGAGCCGCTTCTGATCCAAAGTGATTCCCTGCAGCCGGTCAACTAGCAGGAGCCGCATGGACCGATGAATTAATTAACACATCCCACCGGCACCGCGGATGCCGAAAAAAATGAGCCCCAGCGGCCTGGCTGGTGCGCGCAGGCATCGGTCTTCGGTCTTGAGTATGAGAGGAACGAGCAGCGCAGTTGCACCGACGGCTCCTGCGGCCCAGGCCAGAGAAAATAATCGTACATGCAGAGAGCATAGCCCCCCATACAATGTGGTCACGTTACCTCACTGTGAGATTTGTCTGGAACATGATTAATTATGCTGCCGAAGGAAGTAAGACTTGTTCCTGCTCGGAGCAAGGATTCCAAGACACGCTCACCGCTGATGAGCTGCCTACCCTAGAGGACCAACCACAACATCCGGGGTTTAGGGATGGGTATACTGAACAGCAGCCCTTGGTTTTTTTTTCTTTCTTTTTTTCTTGTTCTTTGCTTTGCTTTGCTTTGTTTTGTCTTGTTCGTGAGATTGCTTTTTGACTTTGCATCTGCGTGTTGTCGGAATATTATTCGTCGACTAACAAAAAGGTACTTTTGTGTAGCCTCATGCCAGTCTCGTCATAAAGAGCGGGTTGGAAATTATCATAAGACGTATGTTTGACAGGCCTAGTAGAGAAATACCAGTACTGAAGTAGAATTCCTGCCTCAAGAAAGGTTCAACATGCTGTCTTAATTAGCTAATCTACATGGACTTTATCACACGACCATACACACGAGTGCAGGTATCTGCTCACGCACTGACGGGGTAGTAACTCAACATGAAAGACCTTGTGTTATGTCCTTGTTCTACCAAGAACTAAAGAACAAGAATTAATAGGTAAGTTTGAGCCGCACTTAATTCACACATTTCACAGCCTACCTCCCTAAGTAGGCTGCGACCATAGAAAGCTAATATAATCAAAGTCTTACATGAAATAGGTACCAGAAACAAGTTCATTGTTCGCCGAAATACAAAGGCCATTCTCGAGTTATTGTTCAAGAACTAACCTACAGACTGCAGTATATTACGTGCACTTCAATCAGTTGTGGATTCAGCCAAGTGGCACATCAAGGTTCCGCTCAGCGCATCCCAACATGAACGCAATCTCAACGCCCGTTCAGAGTACCCAATTTGGGGAGACCTCTCTGCGGCCAACTATCGAAGTAAGGAGGCAGTTAACGAGAAAAGAGAAAGGTCAGAAATTGGCCCAGGCGGTGCAACATGCCTATGAGTCCGGCAACAAGCTGTACACCAAAGACATGTTTCGGGAGATCGAAGTATTCTTAGCAAAGCACTCTTGGACCGAAGCTACGTACATTACGCTCCCTTCTAGTACGTTCCTGACACCGCCATCTGAATTCGGTATCTAACAGCAAATAGTGATTGGCATCAACACCAAGGTTGCTATCCCTTCACTTGAGAATGACGGCCCCGGCGAACCGCAATTGTGAGCAATCATCCCTGGCTAGACTATACAAAAATCAAAAGCTAATCAAATCAAAACTAGGGTTCCATTCCCGGTTATATATCCATACCGGAAGCTGATGAATCTAGCACAGAATGCTTTCGAAGGAGAGACTGATGAAGAACTCGTTGACCCAAGTATCCCCGAAATCAAAATGGCCGCTTTCACCTGTCCTATCAGAATAAGTACCGTATTTACAATGATTTCGGAAATTCCACATCATCAAGTGGAAGAGACCTGGAGCTTCATAGAGGAGAGCTGGGAGCAAAGCAGTTTTCGGATAGAGTTGCTTGATATGCTGAACCTGGTAGATCGGATACCTAAAGTTAGCCGAGTAGTCTGTCTTGGGCTGGGGAACCTTGCTAAAACTCTCGCGGAAGATAACATCTATGAGACTGTTGAGCCTCCGAGCACTCTACCAGGCTACCGCAACTACATCAACCACTTTGTCGCTCTCACTGTTGCCCAGGTCATTGGAAGTCGCCAAGCGAATCGCCTCTCACCAGATACAGAGCCGACACACGGGCAACAGTCCTCACTCAAAGTGGTTGCCGAGGATTTTAGCTACAGTCTACAGGATAAGGAAGTGTTGGCCAAGGCCGGATTTCAGATCTTGAACGGCTATGGTACCTCGGCCTTTCGAGTGGTTGACGACGAAACGATTCTCGTCTGTTGCGATCCCCGAAGGGCGGTAATGGAGATTATTGCTGATATAGCAAGACCGGCAGCTATGCTATGGATCCAGGACCTTCCAGAAGTTGAACAGGGGGATATCCAAACAGAATACTGGGAATTCATAAAGAGGAAGTTGTGAGTACAATGACTGTTATTTCCTTGAATGCAACTGCCAACGGTTCGGTTGCTTTTGTTCTTGGAAGCTAATCAGAAGATCCCTAGTTCCTTTAAAAAATACGAAGATTCACCAAGGACTATTCAACTTCTTCAGGAGTACACGAAGTATGAAGTTGAAGTCAAAGCTGAGGTGCTGAGAACAGACTTGTATATCCGGAATACCTGATCTAGCGACACATCAATTACCTGGAAATTTCGTCATTTCTGCGCACCGGAAGGAAATGTTATTTGTAACATGAGACGGAAAGTCTGAAAAGGGTAGAAGTGAGTCGAGATACTTAAGTCTACCTGTACCAAGGGATATTCCGCTGGTGGGAAGGGCCGAGCAGTCCTTTGGTATGCTTCTTACCAACATATTCACGAGCACTTTCAGTTTTGTTTATAAATTTTAGAGAAGTCCTCACGGGAAAGAAACAAAATTGTGTGATTGGGTCGGAGACAAGTCTAAAACCCAGCTGCCTCATTTTACACCCTGAGATTGTTCTTGGGAGTTTTCGTGATGAGCCGAGGTATCTAAACGTAGAACACAGCCGTAGATTTGTGCGAATTACTAAATATCTAAAACCCTTCAACAATTTTGGGATCTTTGTGTTTTTGGATTTGTGCTTGGAATGATGCGTAGCAAACAAAGAAAGGCATAGCCCAAAGGTTCATGGGCGAGCGTACCAACGGATATCTCGGCTCACTGGATGACGAAAAGTTGAAGTAACATTCAAATTCCCTTGATTGCTTCCCGGCCATCTTCCTTTTCTCCCTCGTTCTATGCTTAGTTTACAACCTTATTTCGATAATGTTAGACCTGAATAATAGGGAAATTATAGTAACAGCTGTTTCATCTGAGATATTGGGCTTCTTGAGAAACCAAAATTACATTGTATTCGATAAGAGAAAGTTGTCTTCTATCCTTAGCAATAGTCCATCCCTAATGAAGGTGGCTGGATAAGTAACCGTTATATCAAACAAGACGGCCAGCTTCGGTGTCAAACTGTTAACTAATCCGGCCACCGCAGGTACAAATACAAGCACGCAGACTTTAATTATCTCCCCGACTGCCTTAAAAAGGTAGCTGTATGCTTGTAATTCTTGTTTCCGGGACATATATCAAGGCTGCTTTTGCCCCTCAAGGAAATGCTGATTTCAGATCGATCTCTTTCTGCGGTTCTTGAAAGCTGGCTGGACTGATAATCGTTGATCGGTTTTCTTTCTTGATTACGTTAAGGCAGGCGCTCACATTAGTGCCTCGTTCCCCAGTACTTTGATATAGCGACTCTAGCCTCATTTTCAACAAGCTTACTGTACATCTGGATGGCATGAGGAGTACCGGCGTCGGCTCGGACATGTTATGTCGTTTCATGTTGACTTCATGAAGTAGACAAGCTCCCCCCATCGACGTCATACATAAGTGGGCCAATTATTTCTTTTCTATGGAACAAGGCCCTCTCGTTCATCGTGGTCTCATGAGGCGGGTCTCACGTATGAGGCTGGAATGGAGACAACTCGGAGATCCGAGACTAACAAACAGGCCATCGCAGGTCACACGTAGCTGCAAATGCTATGATCGAGCCCTCGGATTTCGGAGCTTGGTTCAATTGAGTGTACCAAACGAGAAAGATTAGGTGATGTTGGTGGGAAAAACTGGAAATAGGAGTCGCTTGTGAAGCATTTGTGACATGGCGATCTCGTCGGCATCGCCATTACGCACGCCAATTAAAAAATGGAACTTTGCAGCCCTTCTTTGCCTTTGCCCACTACGACCGATATGGGTACGTACTCTGTTTTATGTGGCGGATATTGATGAAATGATACTAATTGATTAGCGGTAAGACTGGCAACATTGAACGCTCGGATATGCGAGGCGAGAACAGGGTCAATGTTGATGGCCCAATAAGAAGGAATCAATTTCTAAAATTTTCCTAAATGAGAAAATTGGAATTACTGGCAAATCATAAGTAGGAACGCGCACATACGCACTTTCGCGGCCAAATGATGCATCACTCGGGGTTCTGTGAGACGGTGTCGGCGATTCGGAGATATTGACATCCATGTTTGCACTCCAATCCGAGTACATTGGAGCAAGACAAACTTTCTCGGGAACCGAGATTGACACTTTGTGAGCAGAATCGTTTGTAGGGGCGATACAAAATAGGCATCGAGTGTGTCGCACGATGATATAAGGATACGGGAAGACCGGTGAAAAGGCAACATCACAAGCCACGACATCCTTCACCGCTGACATCTCAAGAATGACCAGCGAAGAACTTGCGAAGCCCCGGCGCTCTTGCGCCGGCATCCTTTTCGATGCTCTGGGATTGGACTCTCTGTACCGGTCTGCCCCCGATGTCAAACTGCTTTGCGCTCAGCGTTTTGTGCGCCTTTTCGCCTACGGTGCCTCGACGCTCGTGCTCGTTTCCTTCCTCCGCGAGCTGCAGGCATCCCAAACTCTCATCGGACTCTTCATGACTCTGACTCTTGGTGGCGATATTGCCATCAGCTTCCTCCTTGCCCTATTTGCTGATGGGATCGGCCGTAGAGCTACCCTCGCCCTGGGGGCCATCCTCATGACGGCCAGTGGTCTCGTCTTTGCGTGGTCTGATAACTACTGGATTCTTCTAGCAGCAGCTATTCTGGGCGTTATTAGCCCAAGGTATGATTTACATGGTATGATCTTACTTGTGGATGGAAAAAGTGCTGACGGATGATGATGTAGTGGCAACGAGATTGGTCCATTCCGGGCTGTCGAGGAGAGTATCATCGCTCATCTCAACACATCTACCCACCTAAGCGATATCTACGCCTGGTACAGCCTATCAGGGACGGCTGGCACAGCGTTTGGCATTGTGACCTGCGGCTGGGTCATCCACCATCTTCACCAGGTCCTTTCTAAGCCTCTGCTCGAGGCTTACCGTCTGGTCTTCCTTGCCTATTCCGCCGTTGGCGTTGTCAAATTTCTCCTGGTTCTTCTTCTTAGCCGAGCTGTGGAAGCTGAGGTTGAAGCGGAAGAGCCTACACAAAGCGAGACAGCTCCTCTACTGGGGGAAAGGGAAGAGCGCACAAAGCCTGCGCAGACTCGCCGCAGCTTGCTTCCCAACGTCAGCAAGCAGAGTATCCCAGTTGTCATTAGCCTGTGCATCCTCTTTGCGCTCGACGCCTTCGCTTCTGGTCTTGCTCCTCTGTAAGTCTCAGCTAGCCTTCTACTAATATGAGTGTGTGAATGGCCTAACTGACACGTTCACAGGTCATGGGTCACCTACTTCTTCAAGTCGCACTACAACATCGAGGAGGGCAGGCTCGGGTCTATCTTCTTCGTCACCAGCATCATCTCCGCCTGTTCGACCATCGTGGCTTCGTTCCTTGCCAAACGTTTCGGAAATGTCAAGGTGAGGAATACCCTCCGCCCTACTGGACCCCGCTCCCTCGAATGAACGTATTCATTGGCTGACGTTTATATTAGACCATGGTCTTCACCCATCTGCCCTCCGCCGTCTTCCTTGCTCTGATCCCCATCCCCAACGAAGCTCACTGGTCCGTTCTGTTCCTCGCCCTGCGTGCCTGTACGCAATCCATGGACGTCGCACCGCGCTCCGCCTTCCTCGCCACCATCTTCCAGCCCCGGGAGCGGACCGTGATCCTCGGTTTGGTCAATGTCGTGAAGACGAGTGCGCAGAGCATGGGCCCGCTGATCACCGGCGTCCTCGCCGACTCGAACTATTTCTACCTCTCGTTCATCTGCGCCGGATCGTTGAAAGCATGCTACGACCTTGGATTATTGGCAGTCTTTAAGAATCACGAGGCGGACAGGAAGAAAGTCACGGCAAAGGATGACCCAGAGGAATAATTTTATAGAATCGGCCTTGTGCCCGGGAGAAAACTGATTAGATGCAATAAGTTTGACACACGAATGATACACGAATTGAATACTTTATCAAAGAAGCACACCTCGTCGTGGCGATGTAACAGCCTGAGAGTACAGGGACGAGCATTGCAATGGGACAACAGAATTGCTGACGAACTTGGTATTGTCCATGTGTATTAGTTGGTAAACAAATGCCCTTCGCTGATATGCCTATTTGACGATCTCGGTAGAGGGGGGATTAAGCTTAAGCCCCTAGTAAACATGTTGACATTTTTACCGGCATGTTCATAATTGGGCTGTAAGCATATCCATGCCAACAAGATTACATATTTCCTTCGGATATCACGGATTTGTTTGTACGCGGAGAATTGCCGGTTCCGGGACATGGGGTCAACGCATGCAAGGCAAAAAAAGAAAAGAAAGGAGGAGAGTGTCGATTGTGGGATTATTCAGCTTCATTGGAGCCCGGTTACGTGAGGGATGGCCACTCTATCGTGACCTGGGGTAGATTATTCCCGAGACCAGAAACAGGCGTACGGTTTCATCGACACGTCCAACTGGGTGACTGCTCGCCGCACTGCATGCAACCACTGGCGGACGATGCGGGAGATGCAACGACGTGGTCGGAAGGCCAGGTAGATCAGCCTATCATCGACCCTGTGCCGTTGTCTCGATGGCCATCGGGAGGGAGGCCAACGTGGCAGTGGCGGAGCCTGAGTCAACCATGAGTCGTCTGCTCCGCAGGTCCTTCGTCGGGCTGACCAGGATGAGAATAGGCTGACTGGCAGAGAGAGGTCAAGACGGAGCTGTTGGATGACGAGTCGAGTAGGGCTTGCTTCTGTATTGGGAGAGAAGAGGGCTGCTGGCCCTCCAAGCTATGGCCGTTTTGGTCCATTTGTCTCTATGAATAGGATGATGTCTCTGATAGCAGTTACCGGATGAAGCAACCAGCCCTATCACCCCGTTCTGGGTACTTATGGATGATGTATTGCTCATGTACTCTCCCAATCAGTAGCATTCGGAATAAGATACCAGTTACTTACTCGTTGCCACGACGAATCTGGGTGAGAGTGCATGAGCATCGGCTCTTTTTGCCTGCCTGCAAGAAGCCACTAAGTGATGGCGTCTGCATGCCATGCATGAATCTAGAGACGTCATCTGCGCAATCATATACTGGTCACCTCGCCGATATGTATCTGTGTATGCAAGCATGGGTGCCGGTCAGAACAGTATCGACACTGGTGATGCTCCTGGGGGAGGGTTGGCGGCTAAGTAGCACTTCGTTGTTTACTATTGGAGCCTCTAGCGTCTCTCCAGTACCACAGGAAGTGCAGCGTACTTGATACCTCTGTCCGAGTATGGTTGCCAGACATCTAGCAGCAAGCTGAGTGGTGCGTACTGCATCTTGTCGCGTGGGTGTCACGCGTCAGGCTGAGGTAGCCCGCTGTCTCAACAGAAGTATCACAGCACGAGTTTAATGGCGGTGTCGAGAGCGTTATAGAATCCGCCTCATGTATCCCCTGGAATATAGCAGTTCTCGGTCGAGTTTTTCTTGTGGAGATGACGGCTATTCAACCCTTAGTGAGGCGCCATCCCCACTGTCATGCCATGGCCCATCTGGGTCGGAGATTGGTCCCCCGACATTAGAGGCTCGCTAATGAATGAGAGACGTGGAGAGACAGAAAGCTGAAAGGGAGCACGAACTCTCGGGACCGTTGGTTCTGGAGTCCAGTAACAGTGTCCGAGATGGCTCTGGAAGGATATCCAAGGAGAGTTCCATGTACTAGTTAAGGGGGGATCACATTTACATGAACCTACCTGCTATCCATCCAGCGCCTGCCTATCAATTACGGAGTACTGGATGGAGTGAAGAAATCGGGTGTTCCACTTTGATGAGGATCTTTGGCGGTAGCGCCGTGATCCATTGCAAGTACAAATCGCCAAGACTGTGGAGACGTGGTGCCGAGAGAATGACGAGGAAAATCCGGCATGATGGCAACAGAGCAGTGTAGACGTTGCACTGTAATGTTAGTAATGTGTGCTATGAAATGGATTGGATGGATTGAGAGATGGAATTGTGCGAGGGATGGATGATGCTTGTTTCTGGCAGTGATGCGATGTACGTACTTTGTGTGACCGAAATTGAGCCCCCACAAGAAGACCAAAGCCAAGAGAAGAAGCTCATTCTTTGATCCATCCGTGAGACGGGCGGCTGTGCCATTTTACTTCATCTCTTTCAGTCTGTCTCTCTGCATGGCATCCGCAGCAAGATGACGGGATACCTGGCGGAAGATTACGTGTTATAAATATGCCTTTGCATGGCAGATCCGTCCCCAAGTCGCGAGGCGTCCGCATCTTGGGGACCGACCAGGAGCCAGGTGAGCCCCTAATCAAGAGATGACAGCCAAATTAAAAATAATTTTGGCTGCTGATCGAGAATGTCCTTGGTTGACGGAAGGACGTGCGGACCGAACGGGGTACTGACCAGGGTCCACGTGCTGGGACCGCTCTGCTCTTCTGCGCATCCTGCTTAAAGGGTCTCCTCGGGGATTGAGCCGTGTACATGAAGATACTTAGTAATATGTGTCCAGCCGGGTCAGCCCCGAGTAGAGCCGCGGTACTACACCCACTGCCAAAGCTGAGGTCGTGAGAATCCGGGTGTACCTTCCTAGGCCCTCGGGCCAGTGTGGATTGATCATCTGCACAGTGTACGTTGCACCTCCTCTCTCAGTTCCGTTGCCTTGGCACCCCACCCGCCAACGGCCGGTCGTCGGTCTCTGTTTACCTGCTGTGTGCTAAAGCCCACGGGCGCGTAGTGCGGCTCATTTTCAAACCCCCCAAGGAGACCCAAGGCCGAGCAGCATGGCGTGAGGCGCGCTGTGATATGGCAGTTGGTGTGCCACCGGATAGAGCTAGTAAATCTGTATCAGCCGACTCCCCAGAGAGCGCGCTTTTCAAGCCCTGCCAACGCGCTGATTCTTTGCTGCCCCGCTTACCATTGACAGGATCAATGTACTGGTGCAATTGATGGATGCCTTTGTGGTACAGTGCGCTAAATATCGATAGCGGTCAGAAATACAGTGCGGATCAACATACAGTACAACCCCCTCCCTCCACTAATCTCTGATGAAGCTGGCTGGCCCCTAACTGCATGGGTAAGGTACTACCTGCGCCTGTTATCAGCAGACAGATACCTGCTGGGCCCCTCAAGTCCCCGAGCGGCGGCCATTTACCTGTTTGTTCCATGTGTGGCATGTATCAGTATTCTGTACACATACTTGCAGGTAGACAGATGTACATATTACCTACTTACCGAAGGAGTCAGGTTCGAGGCTGCTTTTGGCGGCCAGGAGGGCCAGACCAAGCCGACGGCAGAAGCCCAACTCTGCAGCAACCTGGAACACAGCCAGCAGCACCACACCTGGTCTGGGGCTACCTTACTTGCCTACGGGCTCTAATTACATCCCCTCCGAGGTGCTAGCCCCATCGGCCAGTGCTGTCGGTGTCTGCTGGTGGCCCGGAAGGCACTACCTACGGCTACTAATTACCTGACCTGCCGGCCTCCCTCTGCGACCTTGTTGCTGTGCAGCTGCCGTGGAGGGGTTCTAGGTACCTCGCTGCTGTGCCCTACCTTGTGTACCAACCCTGTATGGAGTACCTGCGCTCTGCTTGTCAGTCGTCAACCCATCATCCTTCCACCCCATCCAAATCAAATCCATCCACCCGGTCTCCTCTCTTTCCTCTCTTCCTGATTTTGTCACTCCCCCCAACGATATCCATCCCCTTTTCCCTACCCTCCTTGACGACCTAGGAGTTGCTCTCGAATCTCGGACCATCTGTTTGTCGAACCTACTCCCCAGCTTCAAGGTGGTGACAAGGTGTTTGCCTCCTTCTCTTTGTTTTTTTTATTATAGCCTCACCTCCAAAAAAATATCGAGAATACTCCTTGAGGACGATACGACTTCCTGCGCATCGCTTCGATTGTTCGTTTGGCGCGACCTGGGATTCCTGCTTATATCAAGAGCGCTTTTCTTCCATCTTGGCGCCTTGATCTGGATTTGCGCATCGCTGTTTGTTGTAGCTTTAGACCTGTGTCTCCTTTTTCAAGGTCGGTACCCATTTTCCTCATTCCAGCATCCGGCGGCGAAAGTGGGTGGATGGGTAGTTCGACACCTGTCTCCTGTGTATGGAGAACGACATGCGCTCTTGTTCCAGACGGACCGCACCTCCAGCGCTTGCCATCCATCCGTTTTGCCCGTTGCTCGTCGGTGGCGACCGTTGAATCATCGATGCTATCGTTTGCCTCTCAAACTTCTCTGAATCACTAACACCCGCTCCAGCTAGTTTCATACAGCCACGAACGCATACGCCATAAAAGCAACTGCTGTGATACTTCGCCCAGCTCCCCTTTCTTGTCTCGACAGACAGCGTAATTGCTTCATCAAACGGACATGTCCTACTACGAGAACGCGCAGCAATGGGCTGGTGGGCCAACCCCTCCTCAACAGAACAACTGGGAACACCAGGGTGCTACCACTCCCGTTCGGACTGGTATGGTTGCAATTCTCTCTTTCGTTTGCGCTTGCTAGTCAATACTGACGTGGCTTTGATATTTAGGTGCCAGCGCTCCTCAGCCCCAAGACGAATATGCTTTCTCGTATCAGTTCGACGGTAAGATGCTCCGCGCTTGTTATTGCATCCGTGCCTCCAAATCGCAACTCGATCTAGGCGGACATTCATTAGTCGAAACAATTTCGATGGCGATACCCCCCTTTCCCGAGCCTGCCGAGATGGCGACAATGAAATTGGGAGGAAATGGCTAACTGGTTGTTGGATAGAGGTTGACCGGGCTTACGAGAATCTCCAAAAGTCTGGGAAGGGCTTCATGTCGGGTGGCCGACGTAAATTCTCGCCCATGCACCATGGGTCAAACTCCGCTAGAAGCACCCCGGACTTCGGTAAGTGTATGCGACCAAGGGCAA